CTGTGGATCGCTGCATAGAATTCTTCTCTATGGTCCTCTGTGCTACAAATTCTAGTTGCTTCAGCCTCTCAAATTCCAGTTTCCATCTTCTCAATTCAGGGAGATTGTAGGGCTCTTTTTGTATTTCCCCCTTCTTGTTTTGTAGTCCAGAAACTAATTTCAGGTAAATTGGGACCATCACAGGACTCACCTTGTTTATATCCATTCTCTCAGTGATCAATCAGTCTCCCGTATCATGCTGCTCAGTGTCTACCACAAATGTTTCATATATTGGGTAACTAGTTTAGTTCAAGGCTTCTGTAAGAAGAGAACTTTGAGAACAGCAGTTTTGATGAAAAGGCATTCTATAGAAAGCATCTGATCAGCAAAAGCACTGTTCTAGTAGAGGACTTTGGTGGGCTGTTTGACTTAGTGGGAAATCTTCATGAATAACTGACCCATCAGTATATTATAGAGCATCTACTACGTGCAAGAAAAAACACGTTTATTTTTCTTCACATGAGTTTACTGGCACAAAAACTCATACCATTTCAATTTAGAAGAGCAAATACTCTAATGCTGAGACATTTAGGAAACCATTTTTCTTTCGTTGTCTCATTCTGCATAATTTGTCCATCTTTTTTTTAATTTATTAACATATAATGTATTATTTGTTTCAGGAATATAGGTCTGTGAATCGTCAGTCTTACACAGTTCACAGTTCACAGCACTCACCATAGCAATACCCTCCTCAATGTCCATCACCTAGCCACCCTATCCCTCCTATGCACGGTCCTCCCGCAACCCTCAGTTTGTTTCCTGAGATTAAGAGTCTCTTATGGTTTGTTTCCCTCACCAGTCCCATCTTGTTTCATTTTCCCTTCCCTTCCCCGCACCCCCATCCTGCCTGTCAAATTCCTCATATCAGAGAGATCATATGATAATTATCTTTCTCTGACTTATTTCACTTAGCATAATACCCTCTAGTTCCAACCATGTCGTTGCAAATGGTAGATTTTGTGTTTTTTGATGGCTGCATAGTATCCCATTGTATATATACACCACATCTTTATCCATTCATTTGTTGATGGACACCTGGGCTCTTTCCATAGCTTGGCTATTGTTTTGTCCATCTTTTTATTATCCCAACCTATGACTGATAATCTTCCTTGTGTATTGCACTGTTTTAATTGTAGTTCTTTCTTTTTAATCCTACTTTGAAAGCTGACTTTTGAAACCTGCTTTTTAGCTATGTATACACAAAAAAGTGTAGCTTTATTCTTTCATTTTCACAACAGCATAATTGTTTTTACTCAAGTTAGAATATTGCCAAGTAGCAGATACTAGAAGATAAATATAGAATTATAATCCTACTTAATGAGAAAAAAACAAACTCTTCTGGTACTGTGCTGTTTAATTTACTATCTTCATATTACTGTCTATTTCTTTCTTCTCCAGAAATTTTATAGAAGTTTTAACAATTGGAGAGGCAATTATGGCCAAGATAGAAGGGTAGATTTCCATGGTATCATGAAGTAAAATAAATATTTATTCTTATACTGGTTTTGGAAGATACTATTGATTAATTTCAACACATTATACTTTTTTGTGCCCAAATTATAGAACATCATTTGTGAACAGCCTTAGGAATTTACCGGTGGTTGGCTGGTTCAACCAGTATCTTTTCTGTCTCCCATAATTCAGGCCTCCCCTTTAAGCCTCTCAACAACACAGGTGACACCATCACTTAATGTTTGATGAACTCTCAGCTATGTTTAGTGTAATACTTTATGAAGAGTTTCAGATAGTTCTTTCATGGGTTTAAACAGAGACAAAAATCTCAGAGCTGCCAAAAAAGGCAATAAAAATACAAACAACATAGACGAAAAGCAACGATTACAAAGTGTTTGGGAGATTAAAAATGATACATAAAATAGATATGGGATAAATGGCTGAAAGGTAAAAGAGACTTGGGAAGATAATGAATAATATACACCATCCTTTACCAGTGAGCTCATAGGCAAATCCCTCCAGGGATCCTTCAGCCAGAATGAGGAAGTTTTGTTTTGGGTGACCCGTAACAAGAATGTAGGTATATCGAGTGTAATACGTACTTGTGACTGAACTCTTAGAGTAGAATCTGTATTACCAACACTGGACATCGAAAACAGAAAAGATAATGTGAAAAAGAAATTCATTTTTATTTATAAGTGTGATGATTCACGCATTGATAACAAAGCAGCAGCAGTGTGATAGCTTCATGGTAGCCTAGTCTATCTGCTAATGAGTGAATCATTATAAAATTTTTATGACATACAGTATTGTAGTTATAGTCATAATACAGCATTGCAAATATTAACATTCAATATTGTTAGACTATATGGCTCATCTGGGAGTTTTTTCAAATTGTTGCAAATCTCAAAAGTATTTTCCAACATACATATATTGAAAAAAATTGTACATAAGTACACATATGCAGTTCAAGCCTATGTTGGTCAAAGATCAACCGTATATATGCTCATTGACAAAACATGGTGTATGGTATTATTTTCTTAGTGGCAGAGGGAGAAGGACACCAAATCTCTCTTTCCTACCACACTGATGCAAAGTACTTTTTTGTTCACTATTAAAAACTGCTACACTTTATTAAGCCAGTGGATCCCAGTCCAATATTCCATCACTATCCCAAGTGATGTCTTCTGGGTAATGCTATATGACAACCACTGAAGGGACTCTAACATTTTATAGTAATTCTTTCCATATGGTACCATTATTTATCAATTCATTTTACATTTATTTTTATCTTCATTTTGCAACCTCTCTAGGAATAACAAATCCAATAGACTCACTATATTTTATAATATTGACTTTGGTTTGTTCTTGATTTGCTTCTCTAAAAGTTTTGAGTATTTTGGAATTTGTTGATCAAATCCGTGTTAGTTAAATTAATAAACTTCATCATTTTGGAGGCATTAATCATTTTTTCAGTTGTCTCACTCAGCTAAAGTGTGTTCTAATTTTTCCTCTTAAGGAAAAAAAAATGACATGACTTGAAATCCTGTGGTTCTGACTTGAACATCATATGGATTATTCCCTGATAGATACCAGATCAGATGTCAGAGAGCCTTAAGACAGAGGGTTGATTGAACTCATTTTACTTCTCTGTGACTATGCATTGTACAATTTAGTTGAGAAGGGACTTGAATATGGCCAAAAAAAGAAAAGAAAAAAGAAGAAAGCAACATTGATTAAGTCTAATAAAAAAAAAAAAAAAAGCTGTCACTCCTAGTACAGTTGAACTCTTCTTTCTAAGTCTGCAACCAATCAAGGAAGAGAAGATGATTTGGCTGTGATGTGGCACTGAGGATTATCTCCAAGAGACCAAGTTCACCCTTGAGTGGAGAGCCTGTGAAAGAGAAATCTCCCCTCCCGCACTGGCTTTCTTGCAAGTCACAAATGTAAATGTAAGATAAACGCCCCAGGGCAAGCCTCAGAAACTCAGTTAAGCAGCAGGGATAGGTAAATCCTTGGACTTAAAAAATCCTGTGTATTTACCAGAGTATCATTTCCACAGTAGAAGGTGTGGCAGCAAATAAACCATAGATGCAAATGCCCAACACCTTACGTTTATACTATACTGTACACTATACAATGTGATCTACCCTCTTTTAAGGCCTGAATCCAGAAATCCGCCGTACCCCAACATAACCCTTTTATTTTTCTTTCTGGTGGAAATTTCCTGTTTCTCTTTGAGAAAAATAATTCAATCCTGTTTCCATTACTTTTCCTCCCAGCAGGCTGCTATAGAAAACATACATACATACATACACACACAACCCACACAAAAATTTTTACAAAGATTCATTTTTGGGGGGCCTGGGTGGCTCAGGTCATGATCCGATGATTCTGGGATCGAGCCCCACATCAGGCTCCTTGCTCAGTGGGAAGCTTGCTTCTCCCTCTCCTACTCCTCCTGCCTGTGTTTCCTCTCCCGCTGTGTCTCTCTCTGTCAAATAAATAAATAAAAATCTTTTAAAAAAATTCATTTTCACAGTCGTTCCTACCCAGCTCTAAACTCGGAACCTGTATGCCTGATGATGTATCCAGATGAGCGGGTCCAGGTCTGGGAAAGCAACCTCTACCCCACGTCTCCCTCTCCCCCGCAACAACCTCTGACTCCTCACTCCACCTTCGAAAGGAAACGCTTTGTTTTCGCCCTAGAAGATTCGGCAACCGGATCGATCTGTTGCAAAAAGAGAAAAGAAAAATCTCAGCCTAGAGATAGGTCTTGCGCGGCCCCTCTCCAGTCTCCATGGGCAAAGCCTCTGAGAAGTAACCGATTCCCGGTCCTGAGTGTCAGGCCTTTGCCATTGGTCCTCACCTCCTCGGCCTGGAGTTCTCCGGCTTCCCCCCAAACCACACTCAGTGACTTCTCGGAAACGTTAGCGGATTGCGCTGAGCAGGGAAGGAGGAAGGGGTGACGAGGGCGGGGGTGAGGTAAGGGAAGGGCTCTTGGGGCTGTTGGACGGACACACTCCCCACCCCCACCCCACACACACCCGTGCTCCCCACCCGATGGGGTAGGGGTGGGTGGGAGGTCGCGAACCCCTCCCCTGCCATCTCCAAGCGCACAGCCGAGAAGCCGCAGCCTGGCCGCCGGGGTGCTCCCAGAGGGTCCCGCCCGCCGCGAGCAGCGGGAGGCGCTGGCTGGGGAAAGGGCGGGGAGGGAGGGAGGAGCGGCGGGGGACTCGGCGGCGCTGGTGCCCCGGGGCTGGGGGCGGGGCTGCCGCTGGTCTGGGCGCGCCCCGGAAGGAGGGGCTCAGTGTCGCGGCTGGCCGTTGTCCGCGCTCTGGCCGCGGGTGTCTGGTTTCGAATCCCACCCTCTCCCCGGCTGGAGCAGAGCTAGCCTGGGTGCCCGCGGCCGGTGGTTGCAGACGCCGCGGAGCAACAGGAGCCAAAAGAGAGAGGGAGAAGAACGCCGCGGGGAGAGACCAGGAGCAGGGAAGCGTTCCAGAAGCCCGCGCCCGCCTCGCAGGCCAGGTCGTGCAGGTGGGCTGGATGGGCATCACCGGAGGGCAAGGTTGCAAGTAAGTGCCTTTTCCGTGGCTCCCCTAGTGCGGCGGACTGGGAAGCCCTCCGACTCTCGCCGGGGCTCGCCTCAGCAGCCACACCCACCTGTATCCATTTTCCCGGCTCTCGGTTTTGGCCACTCGGTGTGATGCCACCTGCAGAGTAGAGAGGAGAGAAGCGGAAGGAGAGGTCCAAGCCATTGCAGAAAGGGAGCTGGAAAGGCACCTATTTAAGCAGTGCAAGGCCGGTCCTTTGCGGATTTTGTGCGCGTTTGCTATCAGGTCCCGAAAATGTGGAGAGGAGAGGCAGTTATACTTGATGGTTTGCGTCCGTTCTTTCTTTCTGTCTATGCTAGCAAAACTGTTGGACGCGTTTCAGTTCCAGGGGCAGGTCGTATTCCCTGCGAGAAAAAAGCCTGTGTTGTATTTCCCATCTGCAAAGGTGAGCCTGCAGAACCCGCACAGCGGATCCTACCTGGAGGGACAGCCAAGCAGCGCGAACCCCTTCCCGGCTCACAAACACCAGTAATTGACGAGACTGCTCAGCCCCATTTCCCAACACAGTTTTGTTTTGTTGTTTTCCCCACCCCCCTGAAACGAATAGGCATTTTATAGTGAAATTCAGAAAAGATTTCGAGTCATTTTAGCATTTTAATCGGTCTCAACAAAAACTGTCATTTACTTTCGGGGGTAAAATAGCTATTTTCCTTACTGGTATTAAAGACAAAAAATCAAAACAAGATTACCAAACTAAAAAACTTTAATGCCAACTTTTGTGATTGTAATAAACATTTTACTCATTATTTTAGTGTTTCTTTTTAAGTTATAGTTGCAGCCTTCCTAGTAATATTTATTTCCTCTGAAGCTAAGGACAATTTTTTATCTGAGAAGCTTGGAGGGGGGGGACTAAAAAGCTAACTTTAATAATTTCAATAAGACAAAGATCAAAGATAAAGATCAAATCAACACAGGCTTTTGAAAGAATGGTGGATTTTCAGTTTCTGTATGTCAATTTTGGGAGGTTCATTTCTTTTCAGAAATGCAATTATTGCTCTCTTCTATTTTTTTTTCTCCTTCCCAGTGGCCAGGAGGAAGACATTGTTTTTCTTTCTTTCTTTCTTTTGAAAATATAAAATACATTTTCATGATTTGTGCTTTAACACAATAAAACCTAACTATATATAATCTGCAAACCAGTGCAATGGTTAAATAGTCCTTTTTTTTTTTTTTTTGGAAAAGTCTTCAAATTCTTTTTCCATTTTTAAAAATAATTAAACTAGAAATCACTTTCTTAGAAGCTGTGGTAAATAAGATTTAAAAATTTGTATTGATTATTCAAAACTAGTCTTACCTGATTTTCATGTATGAAGTTATCATGATAGAATAGCTTATTCACAGAATGCTAGACAAAATTTGACATTTGGTATAATGGAGAGTGTGCCTTTGATTTAGTCAACTGGTAATAGTTTTGCTTAAGAGAAGTTTTTGCATTTTGTTTCATTACCTGTCTATTGGAGGTTCCCTTTTGGAAGTGAACCATTGTGCAATCATGGGACACAGTGATGTATTTTTACAGAGGTTCAGTTACAGTACGCCATGATTCCTATGGTTTAAGGCAGGGCTAACTGGGTACCTTGAAGAGTCTACAGAAGAAAGATGAGTCAGGTCTGGCTCTTGGCCGAGAGCATCCTTATGCCTCATTGTGTCCCCTAGGGCCAGGAAATAATCATGGGAACCCTCCAGGGGTAGTGCTTCTGTGTTTTTGCTACCTGTTGCTGAGGTGAGTTTTGGCAGCAAAGAAAAAGAAATTCAGGGGTGAAACCAGTGAGGTCTTATTCACTGTATTCAGTCTGACCAAACCACTTTCTTTGTGGCAAGAAAAAAAAAATAGACACTGCATTTTACATTAATGGTAGAAATTAACATTTATCTAATTTCTATTCCTAGTAGATGCATGAAAGAATGTGATATGCTGGAAGGATTTATTTGGTATTTTGCTAATCTAAGGCATGACTTTGCTGAGGAGCTTAAAGTTTATTAATGTAAATGGATCTTTCTAAATCTCATGATGGTATGATTATGATTTTCTCTAAAACTGTCTTAGATCTTTCCCTCCAGTCTTTAACATCTGAATAAATGGCTTCACCATCCAAATGTTACTGCTCTCTCTCTTCCTCAAGACAGCATTTCATCCATAGCTAGTCCAGATTTAGATCTATCAGTTTTCTCTTCCAAATATATCTCTATCCATTTATACTTCTCAGATATATCTCTTTTGCCTTGTTCTCTATGTCTACTATGCCAGTAAATTAGTTCAAACCACCATCATAATTTACCTGGATTTCTGCTATAGGCTTCCTGCTAGTCTCTCTACTTCCATAGTTTCCTCCCCCATGATTCACTCTCCATACACAGCAATACCATCATGACTCTCCTTAAAAGCATTCATTAGCTAACTGCATAGAAAAAAAAGGAATAAATGCAGAAACATAGAAATCAATCAACAACAAATTCCTTCTGTTAGGATACAGCTCTCTTTGATCTGGCCCTTCTTTATAACCCCACTGAATCCATCCCTGTCATTTATAGGCTCCAGTCACACTGGTCTTTTAGCATCTGTAACACAGGGAATAATTTCACCCCGTAAGGCCCTTTTAATGCTGTTCCCAGTGTGTGGACAGCTCCTTTCACTCTTTGAATGGCTATCTCCTTCTCAAACTTTACATCTCAGATCAAAATTCTCTTCCTCAGGTGATCATTCTTGATCACCTGTCAAAAGTAGGTTGTCACCTGTTAGTCTCCTTCTTGGTACTTGTTTGTTTCCTGGTGCTTATTATAGCATGCAGATATTTTTTGTATTTGAATACTGAAAGCTCTAAAGGAACAGAGACCAAGTCTTTATTGTTGGCCCAGTGTTCAGAACAGACCCTGGCATGAAGTAGTGGAGGGAGGGGTTTCCTAACTATTTATGTAAATAATAAAGTACAAAGATCTGACTTCTTTCACCATAAAGTACATCAACCCAGTCAATTTCTGTATTTTATGATTCAATTTCTTTTTTATTTGTTGAGCATCTGGTACATTTACAACTCTGTACTGTGATTTTGAGGAAGTAAAATATCCTGGGATATATCCCCATCTTTCAGCAGTGTAGGCAATAAGGTGTTCAAAGGTAAGTAGATTATAGCATATTCTTAGGAAAGCAGTAACCACAACTGGATTAAAATATATTTGGAAGGAAAGTTAGAGTGCATAGGCGAACAGTGACTTTTATATGAGTGACTTCTAACATGCAATGATGACCTTATTAGGTTTAATTCTTATTAGGTTTAATTAGTTTTGAGGGTCTTTCAGTAATCACTAAATTTAAAATGTTATCTTGTAATAAATATGAATACTTGAATGAGCTCAGTCGTTGGAAGGATGTTCAAATGAGGCTGAGGCCATAGATCCAGTGCCAGCACGATCCAAGTTGGTGTTTACGCCAGATTCAAGGGACAAATTATCTCACAAATCCAAAGTGTCCACTCGGGAAGGTTCAGAGAGAGACTATGGGCTAATCCATGAAGATCTATCACTATTGTAGGGTGCGAAGGAAAGGAGGCTTCAAAATTCATGCTGCTTAGTGATAGTATCAATTTATACTAGAATTTATACAAGTATACATACTTGTATGTACTTATGGCAATAAGTCCACCCATTTTTTTTTTTTGAGTCTGTATTTAAAGATACTAAACATTTTTGGTATTAACATGTGGTTGAAAATCTAGCTTTCAGTTAGGCAAAGAACTTTGATATTTTTTATCTAGCAAGTGACAAGCTTTTTTTCTTGTAAAGAATTTGCAATCATATTTCTTCTGGAAGGACTAAACTATTTCATGACTAGTCACCAGGGATTTTGTTAAATTTGCTACTAAGGTGGCACATTGTGGTTATAATGAGTGGGACTGCCCTTGTGTACTAATTGAAGATGGCCCCCTGTTTTATATGTCACAAATTAGCTAATTATTCTTACATAGAGGTATTATAGCTTTCTTCTTCAGAGCTATGTAAGCTAGAATACCACTTGAGATGGCAATGTCATAGTAAAATGGATATTATAAGATTGTATGAAAGTAATTTTCATTTGAGGATTTATGGAAGAGCACTCACAGAATGTGGGTAGACTACTTTTGTAGAATGTGAGAGAACAGTTTTGGCATCTTGCCATCCTGCAAAACAAAATTTCTTCATTGAAGGTTTAACTGGCTCTTCCCCGCCCCCTATGTACAGCTGGAAGGAAATGGCTTTAGGCAACAGGGAAAGCCATCAGCTCTTGGCAGCCAAAGGTAGAATAAACTTTGGAGGAACAAAACTCTTCTGGGTAGTGAGGAAAAATGCCAGACCACGATAAAGAGGGACAAGAGGTGGGAATGCCTTGAACAGTGCCAATAAACATAATCTACCACAGACAAATTTGAATTGACATTATATATATAGTTGAATTATTTGGTATCTTTCTAGCCACACCAAGGACAGTTCTTTCTTCTTTTGTCTTTAGAATAACAACTGTATTTTAAGGGAAAACATACTGTTATTGCTTCTTTTATACAGGAAATGGGTTACCTTTGGATTTTTAAAGTGATATAACAGGGAGCCAAAAATGCCATATATTATTATTAAAATATACAATTTCTTTAATTTTAATTTCTTGCTATTCATTTTATGATTTCCTTTTGTTGTGTCAAGTGTTTGAGAGACTGCTATTACTGATTATAAATTTCTTTAAAATGTCTCCTTGGATTTTTTACAAAGCTTTCTGCAGTCAGATGCTCTACCACTGAGCTATACCCCCGTTACAAAGCTTTCTGAATCATTTATCAAAACACAATAAAACTAATTGCACCTGATTATTCACTTTGAAATTTAGAGGGAGTAAGTACATTTACAATGTCATTAACCTACCATCTCTGCTCTGCAGTGTAAGCTCTTTTTCTATCCCTTTTTCTCTTCTCTACATATCACCTTCTGAACATTTG